AAAAGGACACCAGACCTAGTTTAAGGTGGCTCCCACAGGCCAACTCCAAAACAATTCAAGTATCGAAATAAATAGTGGTAGTCATAGAATGTTTTAGGATAAAGAATCTGAGTGCATGCTGATCTTAATGAACAAACGGGCAAGTGGGGAAGAAGGGGAAGTTCTTCTGCAGCTGAATAACAACTAATAAACGTAGAAGGAATGATGAGGTTAGAAAATCACCATTTTATACCTATCACAGCAATAATCCTGAAATTATTTTGAAGTTCTGATGACAAAATTCAATTAAGAACCATTAATGAGTGGGTTATCAGTTTCAGGGGGAGCAGGATATTTTCAGACTTTCAAAGTACCTTCCCACCAATGACTTAGGGACAAATAGTGACTTTACAATGGACTAATCCAGCAAATACAGCCTTACCCAAAGAATCCAAGTTAACATCACCAACAGTGGGACACACTAATATCACGTACTTCCTGTTTTGATGCCCTTAGAATATAACTTTTGTGGTATTCCTGTCAAGATATATAATCTCTCTCCAATCAGGAGAAAACATCAGACAAATTTGAATTGAGGGACGTATACAAAATAACTGGCTTTTACTTTTCAAAAATGTCCAGATCATGAAAGACAAAGAAAGACTGAAGATTAAAGAAAACTAAAGAAATACGACAGCTAATTGCGAGATGTAATTCTGGACTAGCTCTGAAATAAAAAATAGCTATTAAGGATATGGGCAAATTTTGAATATGAGAGCGGCTTTGATAATACTCCTGTATCGATGTTATATATCCTCACTTTGATAAAGGTACTATAATTACGCAAGGAAAAATTCTTGTTCTTAGGAAATGCATACTGAAGTATTTATAGTTAAAAATATGATACCTGCAAATTATTTTCAAATAGTTCAGAAAATATATATCAAGAGATAATGATGAAAATCATGCAAAATATTGACAATTAGTAAATCTGAGAAGAGGAATACAACCTTCTCTATAGTTTTTTTTCTGGAATTGTGAAATGATATCAAAATAAAAGAATAAAAACTCTTAGCAGTCCATGAGGGTAAAATGGAACCATGAAAAATGATGGCAAAGGCATCTCTTTATTGGCAAACAAAGATACCTACCTACATTGCTCAGTGAAGAAAAAGGCATGTTATTATAAGGCTCATTCCCCCTGTTTTTATGTACATGTGTCTATAGATGCATAGGAAAAAATCCATGGATATTCGTCATATGTAAATATCTATTAATGTTGTGTGGTGGGATCATGAATGATGTTATTTGTCTATTTCTCTGTATTTTCCTCCAGCGAAAGTGAATTAAAAGTTTCTGTTTTTGTTCTCATTTTTAACTTGGGAGCGAAGGTGTCCTCTAAGAAGTAGAAAAATATCAGACCTTTCTGAGCCAGTCCAAGTCCTGTCATGCTCACAGGCAGAATAAACAATTTGTTTATTCTATGATTTTCAATCTCCTTCCTTTCTCAGTATTCCAGATATAATTTATGTTTTTATCCTAGATAGCCATGTAGTACTACTGATTTGAGCACCCTTTGTCATTTATATCACCTGCCTGTACAAAAGTACTCACCAAATACAGGCTTGGAGTTGTCTATTATTCCCATTCAACTATATCATTTATGTGTACCAGGCAGCTTGGCTATTATCTGCCTTCTAATTTTCATCAAAAACTCTGCTTCTAACACCTCTCCTGTACTCTTCACCCCACTCTGCAACTGCAGGGGGTCAATGGATATTCAAAATCACAGGATGAATATGCTTTGTTGTTCTGGAGCATCAATTTTGCCCATATATGGGAAGAAGATATCGTTACAGCAAAGGAAGCCATTACATTGTGCAGTCAGATTGAAAATTCCCACAAATTTAAAAAATAAAATGGGAAACTTGAAATCATTGAAAGCTCCTAAGGCTTAAGGCAGGCCTTTCCTTTCTCTCCCTTGAAATTCTGAAGGCACCAAGTGCTTTTTCAATTTCCCTTTAAGGGTTCCCAGATGGAAGAATTTGAGAAGCAGGAATCCAAGACTCTCACCCCTTTCTCTGCTCCTCTGTCAGCCATAAATTCTTCCACATCTTTTGAACTGAGCTTTCATCCTCAAGAGTGTCTACTCAGAAAGATGCCCTTCACACAGCCATCTTCTGCCTGGAACTGCACATCTCACACAGCGCAATTTACAAAAGTGGTATTCTTTTAAACGTTGGCATTTGAAACATGCATCACTCAAAACATCAAAGTTAAAAAGGAAGAAAATGGTTATGACACACAACTTAAAGGCCAGTCAATTGCTTAGCAAGAGGACCTCTGTGCAAAAGGAGCCCTGGAGGGGCTCGGTTAAACCCGCAGTCAGGGCCAGAGTGGCTTCCTTTGGGATCGATTCCGAAAGTGTAAAGCCCTAAGCTGTGCACACTATAAAGAATGAAGCCCAGTAGAAAAGAAATACAGGAAGGGCACATCTTGGCAAATTTGTTTAAGATTTGACTATGTTAAACTTATTGTCATTTATAGAGATTACAAAAACACCACAAAACCCTCCAGGGCCCTAAGTCAGTTTTACGTGAGCACAGAGACACATTTCCCTTGAGGACATTGAAATGATCTGTAATGAAAACAGTCTCAATTGTAAAAATTAATTTAAAATAAAGGGAGTTTGCCTCAAAAACAGAAAGTTTTCAAAGAAAGGAGTGCTAACTGGTAAAACCAAATTTCCTCTGATAAATGTTTACTTGTTTGATTACTGCACATTTTATCACGTTCCTAACCATAAGGCATTTCTTTAATAAAGACTTGTTTTCTCAATAGCCGGAACCCTGGCACCTGTTTGTTCTCAGATGGGAGAACCACTGGAGTGAAATGAAGCATGGTTTTCTAACAACAGGTACACCAGCGGCCTTTATTTATTGCTTCATATGGATCCCTTTCAAATAGAAACCATGTTCTCTTTCTGTTCCAGTGACATTTGGATTATTTATTTTGTTTTGGGCTCTCCGCAATGTCTGGTTTGGTTAAAATCAACCCAGAGGACCAAAAGCACCTCATTTGAAATCGGCAAGAAGGTAGTGGTCCTATAGTATCCTTCCTCGCCAATAGCAAGCCCTCAAGAAAGGTGGTTGAACTCATTTGCTGACAGTGGAGGTGCAGGGCCATGCTGTTCAATTCACTGAGCAAACTTTTGTTAGCTGTTCTGAGGCACCAGGAGTACAGTAGTGGGGAAACAAGACAAAAAGTACTACTTTCCTAGAACTTATTTTCTGGCTGGAGCAGAGAAAAGTTAGACAATAGATAAGTAAAATATATTGTGTGTTAGTGGTGAATGCTTAGGAGAAAAATAAAGCAGGAATTGTGGAAGAGCAGTTACAATGTAGATAGAGTGACCAAGGGAGAACTTCCAGTCATTTCATTTACAGAAAATGAAACTGCGAGTTATGAAGCTGTCTAAAGGCAAAGCATTCCAGACAATGGTGGCAACAGGTACAAACACCCTGAGACAGAATTTTCAAGGCACAGCAAAGAGGCCAGTGTGGCTGCTCACCAGGGGATGAGAGAAATCAAGGTGAAGAGAGCAGACAAGAAAAGCCCCGGAGGTCACAGTGAAGATGCTACATCTATGAGAGGTGGAAGGTGATGGTGGTTTTGAACAGAAGTGACTTGGGTGTTAACAGGCTCACTCTGGCTGTTCTTTGAAGAACAGACAGCAGGGGAGCCAGGGCAGTGGAAGAAGAGGAACTATTTGTTTTAAAAGGCAGAGCCTGGAGTTCGCAACTTTAACAAGCTCCCTAGGTGATTCTTACTCACAGTAAAATTTAAGAACAGCTACCTTAGATTATCCAAGCAATTGAGACAAAAGTCGATTTTATGGATGTGATTATTTCATAATCACTAGTTCACTACCTCATTTTGCCTGTGGAGAAAGAGGATCTAACCCGTAACTACCTGTCAATTCTGCCATGCAATCGCCAAATTTCAGAAAGTGCTTCGGAAAGAGACCTCCAAGAGAGATCATGGCCTCTAGCTCTGTGACCCAGGACACCCTCCAAGAGCTCCCTGCAGAGAAGGAAGTGAGAGCTAATGCAATCCTGCAGTAGCAGTGTGCGAGCATCTGAAAGGTCACAGAGCATGTGCTCCATAAATACGAGTTTCAGGATCCAGCTAAAATGGAGCATAAGAGCAGAGAATTCTCTAGATTCTTTTAACAACTTTAAAATTTTTCTTTTTAAATGGAAGTTAGTGAGCATGTGTGTCTTATTCTAAATATATATATTCTAAATGTTTATTAAAATATATTCTAAATATATCAAAATTAAATTCATTGTTTCTACTTTTTAAATGCACTCATAAATTTATATGCACAAAATATTAACAGTTCTTCCTGAGTTTCTTAGTGATAACAATTTGCATTCGTATAGTGTCTCTATAGCCACGCTGCACCCACTACTATATGTTAACTAGTTCATAATCTATTCAAGAACAGAGACTCTTCTATCCATTTTTCTGTGTCTTTTCCATGCCTCTGAATCGCTTTATAGGGCCCCTCCGAATTCTGTACACCATAGGCGCACAGGTAAATGCTTAACTAACCATTGACTAACCAATCTGGAGTAACACAACACTGAAAACTCATTATCAGATATTTTGTTTCTCTGTTTATTTGACTTCTGTGGCTCCATCAACAACAAAATTTTAAAATTCCAAGAAGATAAAACCTTTATAACTGAAAGTCATAAGTGTATTAAAGTGGATTTATTGGTTCAATGTATTATTTTTCACAAGAACATCTGCATCCTGCTGCTATTTTTCCTTGGGCACAATTTCTCTAAAGTATTTCATCATTAAGACCTAATTTAATGTGAATTTTTACAAAGACACATAATGAATTGAATTTTTAAAAGGCATTCATTAACATTATGATCTATTACCTAGGTACAGGTTATTCTTTCAAAGAGAGGACAGGTAATTGGCTACAAATAATGGGTACAGGTTACCTTCTTGAGTAGAGGAAGCTTCTAGGTGTTGAAGTTTCAGGCCAGTGTCTAATCTTCGAGGCTTTGTGTACAGAAATAAATAACAGAGGACACAGACGCTGATGACAAAGGCAAGTAAAACAAGGGCAGCAATTCCCAGTCCAGTCAGGGCGCCAATGCTGAGGAAAACAGAACACATTCTGGTTTGCACAGGAACTAAAGGGGAGGTTTAAATATGGCTACTTCCTCCTTCAGTTATTCATGATCCTTATAATTTAGTATAAACAGTATATGATTGAAATCTACTGCTCACATTTTTCTGCTGTCAAAGTCTTATTACATTTTCTTTATACATGTATGAAGGGTGCCCCCCCCCAACCTAGAATTATCTTCTGGAGGGCTGGCCCTTTGAAGTACAGGCTTCCCCGACTACGTGAGTGTTCTAGGAGCCCATCTGTATCAGTGTGCCAGCCGGCATTGTTCTGAGAGGCTGCGTTCAGCTTCACTGAACTGAATTTTTTTGAAGTCTCCTCCAACGTGTCTGCTCATTTCGTGATGGGTGATTTACAAGCAACACCTGCCCACACTGTGCTGAGTGTTCAGCAGTTTTTAACTGCATAACCAAAAGCAGCATGACCCCTGTGCCCCACCCTCTCTATTTATCCAGTCTCACCCCAGGTGAATTTTTTTTTGTATCCCTGGATGAAAAAAGCCCTCAAAGGAAAACATTTTGCTGACATGGAAGAGGTGAAACAGAAAACAGCAGAAGCACTAAAAGGCATCAAAATCGATGAGTTCAAAACTGTTTTGAGCCATGGAGAAAACATCTTGATAGTGTCTTGCATCAAATGGAGAGTACTTTGAAGGTGACAGAAGTTTAAACATGTAAGAATAAATACATAATTTTTATAAATAAGTTTCATTTGGGGGGTCCTCCTTGTATATGTTAATATTAGCATAAAATATCATGTGAATTCATATGATAGGCAAAATGTTACAGGATACTCTACAGATAGTTCAAAAACATTTCAGTCAAGTCTCTGTTATTAATATATTCTAGGAGCAAAGATTGGGAAGCTGAATATAAAAATATTTACCTCAGCAAAAGTAGTGCAATAAATGTTTACCAGAAATGCAGAACTGTTTTTTCTTGATACATGCATGGGAGATGTTGTTTACTAATATGCAAAACCATAGCTAACAAAAGATAAAAAGAAGACTTAATTAAAGGAGAGCTATAGTTACAAAATGTGTATAAAGTTCATGTTCAGTCTGAGTTTTTCCTTTCTGAAAGAGCATAACACCAATGGCTTCTAGCATTAAAGAAGAACCCCTTGTACTTTCCTCTAAAAATAAAGTGTGTATCTGAGATATTATTTGCTCTGTACCAAATTTATAGTAATTCTTTCTGATATAGTTATCTATAAGGCTAATCATTTGAGGACTAACATAGTCTACATGGAGCTTGAAAAAAGAAGTATTATGAAAGACTAATGCAAATATATGTACTTTCATGAACTGTACGTACATGTGGGTTTGTACATATCTATAATTAGATTCTAAGCTGCCCAAGGGCAGATACTTCCGTTGACTTTCCCGTAGTGTTGTACACACTTAGGAAAAGTGTTTATAGAGTACTTAGCTTGTGGTAAAACTCCCATAGATGGAAGTAAATAATAATTTACTGGTGATTGGGCCTCTTGGAATTGAAAAGTCATCATCGCTGAAAAGTAATGACCTTTCCCTTCATTATCTTCCCGGCTTCCCTGTAAGCTTCTGCTCTTTCCCAGACATTAGGGCCGGGACAAGTTTGGCGTGTACCAAGAGGGAGGGAAGGGAGAGTTTGAGCAGAGCTGCTAGGTGTGGCACTGCGTCAGGAGTCAGGAGAACAGAATTACAAGTAAGGGGCTAAGCTCATCCAACTTATCCTTGTTTTTACGAGGTAAAGCACTTCTGCCATTTAGAGGCACAGGTATGGAATCAGACTTCCAGAGATTCATGTGCTTGGTTTATTCCTGTCGACTCTGTTCCCCCAGCCCTGCACACAAGTGAAGACTGGGTAATTCTGTGGCTAGAGTGAGTATATAGCTATATATTTAAGTTGGAGTGTGCCCTCACTTGGTGCGCCCCAAGGGGTGGACTCCCGGCTTTGGCAACTCCTCTCTCTTGCCTTTTGCACCAAAGCTGACTTCATCGTCTGTATAGATCAGAGAGGGTGAGGCCTCCTCACAGGCAATGGCAACATAATCCACTTCATTAACATTATCTACCGCACAAGGCAGCTTGGAGGCCAGGCATCTGGAAAGATTCCTGAAATGAGAACTCGATTATTTTTTTTTAAATCTTCAAAGTAAAAACACAATTTAGTCAATTTAAGAGTAAAATTGTCAAGTTAGTTAAATTCAACATACATGTTGCAGGCTTCTAATGTGCACATTTAAAAAGCCAGTCCACATGATTTGAAGGAAGAACAAAAACAGCGTGCTGTTTTTGCTTTCTGTTTTAAAAGGAAGTTCTTCACAATCTTGACACACTGTTTCAGTGTCAGAGTTCCACTTCATAGAAACATTGCTTTGTGCATGTGAACCTCTAGGTAAAGATGGAGCTCTAGGAATCTCCTAAAATATTAATTTCAACAAATACTTGCTGAACTCAGGCATCACCCTGTGCAATAGGCATTATTTTCCTAGGTCCTGAAGAAGGCTACCAGAGGAAAACCTGAAAGGTTGGGGATCTATAAGAGAAGAAAAGACGGGAGTGGCCAGACACGGAAAAGGAAGACTCATTCTTCCATCACAGCACTGTGTGGCCGTCCCTGAGAGAGGATCTGAGACAATCATCACGTAAACAGAGCGATTGATTCTCCTCCCGAGCAACTTACTTACTTCTGCTGTTCTCCAGCAGCTGCGGAATCTCACAACAAATATTAGTGACTTCTGCACTATTTTTTTGCAGTTGGACTATTTTAAATTAGGGGTGGAGAGAAAAGAATATGAGGGAAATAAATCTCTAAATTTTTTACCTCCCCGTGTCTGTCCTCAGAGCTTAATAACTAACAAGATCTCCAGTTTTAACATCACCTGCTGATGTCGACAGTTGTGAAGATTTTTGTATTTCCCAGGAACTGCAGAGTACTGTCCGCTTTGTCAGTGCTGAACCAAGACCCCAACCATCTGTGCATTCTTTTGTGCCCTCGTAAACCTTAGGAGGAGTTTTAGACTGCTGCTTGTCACACTGCAGTGAGTCAGGAATATGAGGATCCCAGGGACTTAGGGGATTTAATTCAAACAATTGAGTTTGACTTATGAGTTGCCCGTCTCTGTTGGAGGCGCTGCTATCATTATTAACACCTCTGAGGACTCAGCGCTGGGTTCCTATATTATTTTCCAGAGGGCCAAGTAATATGCCAGTGCAATATAGAGTGCATCTCCGAATAATAAGAATAGGCTGTCATTATTTTGGGGGATTTTTCCCCACTGTGACACAATACAACTTTGTTAGTTAAACTCCTTGGTAAGTGGGCACTCCTTTTGAGGTTTTTTTTGAAGCCTGCAATACACAAAACATTTATTTTTACTGCTTCAGGGAATAACATTTAAAGCCATTGGCTGTAGCCGTGGCATGTGTGCCAAATTCTGGACCATCCTGGGAGACTGGGAGGAAGGATGAGGGGTGGGGCACAAGTAGGTTTACAGTTGTTCGTATGGAAAATAATCCAACAATTAATAAATAATAACACCGGAGTCAACTCTGTTTTTACTCACAACTATAAACATACTTTTAAAAATAAAATTGTATTTTTATTTGTTCAGAATGTTTGTCTTTAAACTTAGCTGAAATTCAGAATGACCTGTGTGCCAATAAAGTTAACATCCAAAACTATGAAACCCAATGTTAAGTGTTTGTAACAAACACGGGCATATAGAGGGTTCGGGGTGGTATCCGATGGTGACAAACACACTGCGCAGTGGCATCTATTCCTTGTCAGCACACACTCTCCCAGTCAGACCCAGAAATGCAAAAGTAGCAGGGCTATTGCGTTTTTTCCTATGTTCCGGTACAAGATTTTAGTTTCTGGAATTCATAAACTCAAAATTATTCACACAGATTTAGCTTTTTTCTTGTTCGTTTCTGAAGAGCTTCTGTCTCTAAGAAATTTTACATTTTAATCTTCCCTTTGAAATATGAGCAAGGTATGGAATCTCCTGAGTTGTATAGGCAGCTTGGGCATTCTTTCAATTATTTTTTAAAATCACAAATTACTCATATATAACCATAATACACATCCTTGCTGTTTGCATCCTTTTTAAAGCAAGATTCAAGTTTATTTCTGCTTTGTATGTTTTCATTACTTTAGAGCCTATTTTTAGTATTCAGTAGAACTCTCTATCTATAAAGCGTTCTCAAAAATTTAATACATGAAGCAGATTATGAAAATCTAAACTGCTATTATAGCTATTTATCTTTAATTTTTGTATGTGTTTCCTGTCAACCATGTAATTTCCTGTTCTTTATAGAAGTTGATAAATTTTTATCTTTATAATCTCAACACTGTTGCTTTCTCAGCTTGGCATAATAGTATATCTTAGCTTTTCCGAACATGCAATATTCACTCTGTCATATCAGATGTAGCAGTGGAATCTGATCGTCTTGGTATTTCTCATTTCCAGCTATTTCAACTGCAGGATGACCTTATTAGCTCCTTCCAAGGATTTTTTTAGATTCTACATCTCTTTTTAACTCATTTCAAGAAAATAGGGTTTGGCTTCACCATTTTCCTTTGCACATAGATGAAGGTTTAAAAGTAGCATTTGTAATGTAGCAATCTTGTCTCTGGAAAGTGCAAGCTTTAACTGTCCATTGAAACCCTTAGCTGTATAGAGGAAATAACAATTGTTTCTTCCAACAGAGTCTGCTTCCTTTCCTTGTTCCGACTTTTCAAGCATGTCATGGTCACTTCTTGATGAAATGACTTCAGCTGATTCCATTGTTAAGATATTACTCCACCAGATAATCTTTTACCAACTACAGCTTTTCTTTTTATGGTAGATTGAGATTACTTATTTAACTTATTGAAATACATGCATGAACTCTGCCTAACCTGTGGTGAAGATATACTTGCAGTTCTACTTCTGTTTTGTAAAAGAGGTTGGAAAATGTACAGTAATAATGGGACACACTTTTTACAAAAGTTCCAAATGCTTGGACACAGGACCCAGTAACACAAAGTTGGACACTGTGAATACCAGGTAACCAGTAGGCATTGGAACATAGAAATGCAAACAAAATATTTCAGTACATGTCTGTGAGAAGATACACAGGCCAATACTATGCCCTGGGCTCTCACCAACTACAGCTTTGAAAAATTGGGTAACATCTTCTAGAACCTGTGTCCATCCTGTGGAGTCCCAAACACTCAGATAATCTTGGTGAAGAGGGTAAGTCCCACCACAAATGCCATCAATTGTTTTGTGAAGAAGCTGCCCCAGCTCCACTGGAAGAGCCCGCAGCCACAGTGAGGGGGTCCCCTCTTCTAGCTCCATTCCGAGTTGTAAACCTACTCTTGCCCCATCCTGTATTCTTCCTCTTAGTAATGCGCAGGTGCTCTCTGTCTCTCCACTCCCCCCCCTCCGCCCCCGTCCCAACCTCACTCATTTGAAAGAAACAATTTAAGATGGAAGGTAGGTGTAGATTCTTTTCTGTAATCCTGACACCCCATTCATTCTCTAGGCAAAAGAAAAAAAATCAAGTTCAAAGTCTGCAAACCTTTGCAGTGTGAGGGTAGGAAGAGCACTGCATAGTGAGACATATCTGCATAAACACTAGTTGGAATAAGCAAAGTTCCCATTACGGGGGGGAAAAAGGAGCAAGAAAGATCCCCCCTGAGAAAACCTCTTCACTTTTAGCAACGGCCACCCTGTTTAGAAAGAGGGTGTCCTAGAAAGGTTCTACAGAGGGCATGATACTAGCGCCTCAAACTATGTATACACCTCTGTCTCTTTGTGTCGCTTCCATTTCGGTTTGGGGTCAGTGTAAGATGGTTTGGAAAGGGCATTATAAAGCTTGCTGGCTGGCTGTCTTGCGTGTGCACACGTGCACACACACACGGCCCACTAACTTTCTGATATTTTAAAGAATACAGTCAATTCCTTTCCACCTCCAAAGAGGCTTAAAATACTCAGATCCTCCGCTAAAGCCTTACAATGGGTCTCATAGGAACCCCCTTCTATTCAAATGCACCAAATGCCCAGTCAATCAAAAAGAAAATTAAAACCTCCCTAAGTTATCTGCGTATTTTGTCTCTGCCAGCTGAGTCACCTGCCTGGGACCGGTCCCTAGAGAGAGTGAAGAGCAACCACTGAGGCGGGGCTGGCGGAGAGATGAGCCTGGCCTGCAAGGGCCCGGTGAGTGCGCCCTAGGCGCAGAGCCCGCGCTCCTCCCGCAAACCTCCCCCGGGGTCCCGAGAGAATTCACACTCCAAGTGGCAGTGGCCTGACCCTGCCTGAGGAGTCCCAGCTCCCTGGACATCTGTCTCCTAGTGGGCGGGTTTTCTCTGCAGAGCCCTCCTCGCTCGCTCGCCCTCGATAGTTCCCTGTCCTTAGCGAGAGACCTGACCTGAGCGGGTCGTGGGACGCGGGCGCCTTGCCCCTCCAGCCGCAGCTCTGCCCGCCGCCTCCCAGGACCCCGGCCCGCCAGCCGCCTGCCCTGCCCACCTGAGGCTCCACATGTAGCTGTGCTTGTAGGGAAAGTAGCTGCCCGGCTCGCTGCAGCAGTACTTGAGGTCTGCGAAGCCGCAGCAGTAGAGCAGGGCGGGCGCCTCGCCGCGCCGGGGACACTGGAAGGGTTCCACGAAGCTGTGGTTGAGGCTGTAGTAGCCGGAGCACACCCGGCTCGCCTCGCCCATCCCAGCCGGCTGCGGGCCAGGCCACGCCGGGCCCGGGATCTGTCCTCCGACTGCACGCGTCCCCCGGGACCCGCGCGCACCGACCCCCTCCTCACGGTCTTGCCTCCTCGGATCTGGGGTCTGGGAGGGAGTTCGGCCTTCGCGCGCCTCCTCTGCTCTCTCTCCTCCCCCGTCCGCCTGTTCTCTATCTGGTCGCCCTACTCGCGCTTCTCTCTCACTCCTGAGTGGTTGGTCCTTTCATTGGCGGGTCACCAGCCCTGCGCCTCGTGTCCCGCTTTTTAGGTCTGCTTTCTTCGCGTTCTCCTGACATCCCTGCACTGCCCTCACTTCATCCACAGCCTGTTCCCACTCCATGCCAGAGAGGTTTCGGCTGAGGAAAAAGTGGAGGTGCAGGACATGCCTGCCATGTGGGCGAATGAGCCCAAGTCGCAATTCCGTCTTGCTTAAGGACAGGGCAGCTGGGTTCCAGGCAAATAGAGCTGGGCAGGGGGAACCCTCGCCCACCACCGGCCGTTGCCCCAACGAGGGGTTAGTGGGCAGAACAAAAGGCGCTGAGACTACCTGCCAGCGAGGGGGTATTAAGATGTACACGCGAAACGATCAAATCTGCCAATTTACAAACCAGAAAAGAAATTATATTTTCTCCGGAAACGAGCCACACATTCTGTATTCAATTAAACAACCTGGGAAGAGCAGGAAAGGTAAGAGATTCAGTTAAGAAAGAGAGAGGACTTTCTGCAGAGGCGGTTGGGGAAGGAAATAGGAAGAAAGAGAACTTGGCCAGTATTAAAGCACTGCAGAAACTTCTTTTGTCCGCTTTTTCTTTGGTTTTCTTTTTTTCATAATTCTTTGCTCACAAAGTTTTTTCTTTTAAATAACAGTAGCCATGGAGACTTGTCGTAATAAGTCAAACAATTCTTTGGTGTGTGAATAAGAAAACAATAGTAGCTTTATCACACTATAACCTTCAGAGAATTTCTGGGAAAGATTTAGCATTGTTTCTTCCTCTTCGTTTTCTGCTTCCTCCCCTTGGCCAGCAGGTTGATTGGATGCCAGAATGATGAGTTTTACTTTGGGTACTGGGTGTTTGGGTGTTCCAATAGATAATCCTAATTTTTGTTCTGAGAGGCAGTTAAGATACTTGGGAGCGGATTCTTTCAGGTTTTCATGTAAGCTCTGTTCGGCAGGGCCAGAGCAGACTTGAGGACTAAATATTTTGCCACGACCGAGGTGGCAGATACCCTTGTGAGTGTTCCACTGGGCACCTTGTGAATGACGAGACTCGCCACTCTGACTGGTTGAAACCAGCTAGTTCAGGCCCGGTGAGAGCTCCCGGGAGTGTTCCTTCTGCTCCTTTTAGGTGGCTCTTCTCCTGGATTCCAGTGGTTTCTTTACAGAAACGTACTGATCAGTACTCAGCTGAGGATGCAGTGAAATACCCCCCACGCCCCCTTCTCCCCAGCTCTCTTCTCTCTGACATTCTGTCCTGCTACTGGACACCCAGCTCTGTCTCCTCAACTCAGGGAGTCTCTTGGGCTCCTCTTGGGTGTCTTCACCTTGTGCTGCAGCCTGGACGCTCTCAAATATCCATGTTCAAAACCCACTGCCTCTCTATTTTGTGTATTTACTTAGTTCAGGCAGGAGGGGAACTCCAGTCCCTGTTAAGCCATTTAAGCTGGACTTGCCAGGGGCATGGGCCTGGTCCAAGCTAGGCAAGTAAGATCCTCTCTCCTGGAACTGGGATTCTACCTTGTGGATATGAAGCCACAAGAAGAGAGTGTACAAGAAAGAGAAAAATGAAGCAAACCAAGAGAAGCTGAAAGGGTGGGGGAAGAGTGCTAATGGCTTTGCAGTTCAAGTTCAAGTCCTTTTCTGAGACCATGGCATTCCTGCCTTTGGGTTTCTGAGATATCCTTGATTCCTTAGAATAAAGTCCCCTTTCTCTGGCTAAAGTGCATTGAAGTTGGATTCTGCTGCTTGCAACCAAAGGGTTCTGACTCATCCAGTGTATCTTCAGGCAAAGGTGAGAGGAGGAGGCAGTTGAAAGGGGAAATATGAAGATCTTTAATCGGTGAAGCATGCTGTCTTAGAAAGGGGAGAGACAGGCATTTCAGGTGACGAGCAACAAAGTGGGCTTTGCTACCTTTTGTGCAAGAGGAAAATAGATTTTGAGATGAAAAGGAGGGAAGTCCTTCAGGAAAATGATGTTGGTTGTCTCAGTAAAATATACAAAAGTCTTCTACAGAATATGACAGCAAGAGTGGAATTTGAGTGCCTGAAGAGAGAACAGAAAGGATGAGAGTAAGTCAGAAATGTGCCTGGGTGACAGGCTGAGTGGAACAAAGGATTGGGTGTACCCTTCAGGGCCCAGTTATGGTTAGAAATCATAGCTTTCTGGTGGAACCAACTCCTTGGTTCATGTGATTTCCTCCAGTAATGAATGGTCAACAGTCCAGGAACAGGGCAGGGAAATAAACAGCAGGATTTGTCAAGATGCTCCTCTGGGGCTGTGCTCTGGCCGCTGCTGCTTCTGCAATCACAGCAGCACTCCTAGTCATTTGCAAACCCCAAATACAAACAAAAACATGCAGGGAGAAAGGCAGGCCCACGGCTGCTAGACTCTACCAAGCTTCAAGTACCTGAGGCCTCTTAAGTCTAAATAAACAAGAAGCCTTTTACCCACCTGCTTGAGGCTTAAGGCCAATGTTAAGATTGGCTTTCGACAATACCCGTTCAGAAGACGCATACCACTTGCTTGACTTGCCTGCTGTGCGATCTCATGTCAGCAAGTCCCCAATTCTCTGCCTCTCATGGTTCTGGCAGGAGTAGGGGTGAAGGAGGACCAAACCCAGAAAAAAACCCATAAATTGCATCTTTTATTTTTCCTGTATCTCACTGTTTCTACACAAAAGTGGTACTCCCCTTTAGGGAACACGTAGGGAATATTTTGGAACTCGGGGTACATTTTTTGGTTGTCATGATGATTGACATGGATGTGGGCCAGGGATGCTAAACATCTGACATCCTGCAGCATGCACAGAAAAATGAGGAATTGGCTGTGACTTTCAAATGTTCCACAGGACATTCATGTGATAGTTAAAAAATGTATTTATAATTATCTTTGCCTAGCACCTGTTTCTGTGTTACAAATAAATACAACGTAGTTCTTGAATTTTCTGGGACTATAACTACCATTTAAATTGAAGGAAGATTGCTCTTTGTTTTGTTTGGCACTCCACCAAGAGCTTTTCACTCTTTCAGAAAATGGTATACCAACAGTAATGTCACTCAAGATTTTGCATTTGAGTGGCCAATATTGCGAGCCATCTGTTTCAGCCTGCATTTGTGCTCTCACTCCATCATGATTTATAGCTGGTTGCATGCACAGTATTAATGTAAATGTTGTCTTTTGGTACAGTAGTACCCAAGCCTTTAAAATGTGGAAATACATATCCCATGATAAATTACATTCCATTTATTTCTGCTTTACATCACAGCGAAGTCACTATTTATCATTCCTATTTTCCTAGGACTGCCATAACCATGGACTGGAAGGCTCGAACAACAGAGATTTATTTTCTCACAGTAGGGAAGCCAGAAGTCTGAGACCAAGGTGTCCACAGGGTTGCTATTTTCTGGGGGATGTGAAGGACAAATCTGTCCCAGGCTTCACTTCTTGGCTTACAGATGGCTGTCTTCTCCCTGTGTCTTCACATTGTCTGCCCTCCCTGTGTGTTTGTGGCCACATATCCTCTTCTTGTGAGGACCAGTTACAATGACTCAGGGCCCATTCATGGGACCTCATTTTAACTTAATTACCTCTGTGTCCAAATACAGACATATTCTAAGGTAATGTGGTGAGGACTTCATAATATGAATTTGAGGGGATACAATTCATCCCATACAATTAGGTATGTATGTTACAGAAAATAACTCAGCCGCTTTCAGGTGTACAAAGTGGAAGTTTATTTTATGCATGCGGGCCCAGAGGAGTCACTTTCCAAATTCTGGGCACTCAGCAGCAGGGGAGCAGTTATTTTTATAGAGCAAGGGAGGGCCCATCCTTCAGACCCTTACTTCTGGTGCAAAAGCAGGAGGCAGTTTACAGAAGCAGAAGGAGCAGAGCATTATCTCTGGTATGATAAACAGTCCAGAGAACCCAAGAGAGGCTTTTGGCCGCTTTGGGTCAAAACAAGCCACAGGGCTGCAAAAACAAATCACTGTAGTCACTGTGTTGTGTCTTAAAATGGCTATCAATTTCCCCCAACATGTAGATCCAGCATAGTATACATGAATTTTATTTCAAGATCGTAAGGAAGAATTACAGAAGTCTTCCTTTAAAAAATGAACATTGAGTCTGATAGGTGTGAGAACTGCTGGTATCATTAACCACAGCACGATGACAAAAGGTGTGCCTCATAGGTGAGTGCTGCTCCTTGCTTCTCATCCCTAGCCTGACAGCGTTCACCTACACCTGGCGTGCCAGAACAAATGGAGAGGAATTAGGGACCAGAAACATCTGGCCATTGGGTAAAAGCAAGATAAGGGTTCAAATAAAGCTGATGTGGCTGTAGAAATAATGAAGAGGCCTCATGAGTGCTTTGCTCAAAAACCTCATTTAATGGATCCTTATTTCCAAACCTCCTGTAATCAATGCTGCTGCACCTTTGCAACTTGATCTCTTGATCATCTCTAGCATGCTCTCTTGCTCTGGAGAATCATTCTTCTTCCTGCCCCAGAAATATTTTCATGTTATGTTTTTCTAGTCAAGAAATATTATGACTTTCTTCTTTCCCTTCAAATCTTTGTCAGTTTTCATAGCCCAGCTGTGGGCTCAACTTTCCATGAAAGTGCCCTCAGTTGCCACGGATGCCAGTAAATATGACTGAGACATGATGTGATCTGCTTGGGGAGGAGAAATGGCCATTTTCCCAGAAGAAAAAGGCCATGAACAGTGGCCAGTTTCTCAGGGGAAAAATTCCTCCAGCCCCTTCCTCTAGGGCCTTTTATTGGGTTCTAATACACAGTAATATAGATTGGTAAGGATCAAACAGTAGATAACATTTCAAAGAAATCTGAGGGCTTAGTATGAGTCAGA